CCTTTTTAAAGAAAAGGAAACCAAGAATTCATGGATATTTTGTCAAATCTCTGGAACAATAAGAGATTGAAATATATTTTTAAGAGCTTTGGTGAAAGATTAGAGTAGGATCAAATGAATAGAAGAGTAGAAATGACCCAATTTCTTTGGACAAATAACTTTGAGAATTGGTTGCGTAACTCCCCAAGAGTTTATTTACCTCACTCCTTTGAGCTTAGCTGGAGAAATTTGATGAAATCATCTTTCTAACCACATGTTATTCTTCACGGAAATGTTTTTGTKGTCCACTTTGAAGGTAAARATCTTTTTAGCCTTAGCTYTGAAGTGTCGTTCTTCAYGGCAATATTGTTGCAGTCTACTTATTGAATGTAAATGACTGCTCCTTTTAGCCTTCAATTTCAAAATGAAGTTCTTTATGAAATGTTGTATAACAGCCCACTTTGTGCAGTGAAGAACCTTCAAAATTGAAAATTTCCTGCGAGAGAAATAAGATCTCCTCAGTCTGAAGATGTCCTTTGTCTCATGACCCTGCCCCAGCTTGCAAATGATAGTTTTGCCCCAGTGTAGCAGATGATGGCTTTTGCCTCAATATAGTAATGATCAAATTTGCCCTAGTGTGGAGATTTGCAAAGAAGACCTTGGAGCCTTTGAAATTATTGTTGTAGATTTCTGTTGATTGCCCCAGTCATTGAAAAATAGGGTGCAATCACATATAAAAATGCGTAGTCGCCTCTACTGCTGTTCCAAATTATGTCTTTGCTACTGCTCTAGTAAAAATTTCTCACAGACGAAACTCATCAAAGGAGACTGAGATCTTGAGACTATTTGTCAGGTCGCTAACTTCCCAATTCTCAAAATCACTATCCTCGGTCTTGGAATCACTTTTACTCAAAAGAAGAAAGTAGACCAAGGATTAAGATAGGAGAACAATAGAAAGGGAAATAAGGAAGTCAGAGTAGGGAAATTTTGAGCAGCTACAAGTACAAATTCATGAAGCGGTCAATCATAAGAGCCCAATGTTATTTTATTACTTTCAAAGTTCTCAGGGCAACACTAGGTGGATAATTTGGACATTTGCCAMGCAATTAGATGTGGCAGGCTTAGTAAAAAGCTTTTATGGTGRATTGGCAAATATGRATAAAATTGTATGTGACGAACTGAACAAAKGATCTTTTGCAATAAATGGTCAACTCTCAATGTTGATCTTATTTATCATATATCGGTAGGCTAGGCTCAAGGTAGATTAGGCTTAAAACAGACTAAGCTCAAGGTTTTATAGGGGGTGMGTAATTTTGGACTCTCACCTCAAAAAGACATTTTTGCCCCARCATGGATATTTAGTGGTTTACYGGTYCGCACATGGTAAGAAATAAGRAKGCTAACATAAAGCTGCTTTGAGTTAAGATTTAGCCCGAGAACAAAGCTTGGTAAAATGGTTGAGTTTTGAAAAAAGATTATATCTTGTTGAGAACTTTGAAGGCATTCGTTTTTTCATTTTTTTCATTTTTTTCACTTTTATTTTTCTTTTTCATTTTTTCTTTTTTTTTTGTTTCCTCCAAGTGACTTACTATGGTCCGTTTATGATTCTAGCTAAGGTCTCCACTAACAAGAATTATAAGAGTAGACCATATAAAAATTATCGTTGAAAAATTCCAAAACATATAATTTCATTTTTATCGAGAGCATTTTCAAAGAAAACATTTTTTGTTTTTTGTTTTTTTGTTCTTTTATTTTTCAACCAATGATATGATATGAGTGATGCATGAATGAATGTATGACGACTTAGATTTTTTTTTTAAAAAAATAAAAAAATAAAAAACAATAGCTCAATTTCCACACTCACATTCTTTTTTACAAGTACTCAGCTAAATCATGGGTGACTAAAGCTTCATTTCTGTTTTAACACTAGCAAACAATCTCAAAGATGACTTCAAAGAAGAAATAAACTTTATTGATAATGGAAAGCAATAGGTCAACATTGATTTTAATAATCTTGTACACTCATGATTCTAGTGCTTCATGTGTTGACCATCTTCCTTTGAAAACTTTAGTCATCCTGCCCTCATTAGCACTTGCATTTTTATGCTTCAGTGAAGTACAGTTCTCAGTTGAATGACCTACAGCTCCTGCATGGTAATCACAATGGACTTGCGGGTCGTACCACTTTGGATAAGGTGGATGCAATGGTTCTACGGATATAGGAGCTCATAGATTACCTTGAAATAATTGGGATAACAACTCGGTATAGGATGTTGGGATCGAATGAAAGCTCTCTCGCTTTAGTTGTCTCCGACTACTATGATTGTTAGGTAATGTTTGTGGATCATCCTGCAGAGTCATTGAGTTTATGGGTACCGTAGAAGGACTGTATGCCACAAATCCTTGTTGGTACTTCCTCTTGCGCTTCGAAACTACTGCCAGGACTTTATTTTTCCTTTTAATAGAGCTTTTATTCATTTTAGGATGCGGCTCTTTATTAATTAAAGGCACCGGTAGCTGTTCTATTGCTTTTCCCCATCTTTGAGTAACATTTTCTTTTTCTTCACCTTTTAAATTATCTGAGTAATTGACCTTTGGTGTTTGTTCATCTTTGAATGTGAATTCAACCTGGCAGTTTGTAGGAACTTGTTGGCCTTTCTTGGAAAGCTGAGCGTCATGTGACGAACTGTGCTGAGGAAAGCCCTCTTTTGATTGACAAAGAGGTGGGTCCACCCTAGGTGATGAATTATTATAAGGTTCGACTAAATTATTAGGTTGAGAAGTACCCCCAACTGTAACGATATTCTTTAAGACATTTAAAATTTTCATGACTTGCTTCTGAATATTATCGATGTCTTGTCTCATCTTCTTTAGCTCTACATTCTGTACCTCCATGACTTGTTCTTGAATCTCGTCTCTTATTTTCTTTAGCTCAATATTCAATTCTTCGATGACCCGTTCGTGGATTTCGTCACTAATATTCTTTAGCTCAGCATTAAATTCTTCCATGTTATGCTGCTTTATGTACCTTGTATATAAAGAATAGTAAATATGTGGCTCTTGAGCTATTTTTCCTAAGAGTTCGTATTAATTATAATGTAATGGAGAATGCACAGATTTTGACTTTTTTTTTTTAAGATAGAAATTGATATGCATGAGATAATGTTATGCAAATTTTGGATCACAAATTAAGGGAAATTGTAAATGATTATGAACATGTGAAATGATGCATGCATAAGATCATATTTTTTTAATTTATGTTATGGACATGCAAAATAATGCAAGAAAAGAACAGTTTTAATTTACTTTAAGAAAAAAAAAATGTGCTACCAATTACCGCGAAGTGATATGATATGAAATCTAAATGCATGTAAATGTAATACTAGACTATAAATCATCACAGGAGGGAAGATCATGAATAGGCGCATGAAATGAAACCTTAGGGTTATAAGGACGAACTCCTAAATAAGTGAATAAGTTTAAAAGTTTTTATTCGCCTACAACAGAGACATTTACAACCCCCTTTGAAATGCAACACTTCTATCTAAACTCAAGCAAATAGTTAGGAAGAAATAAGGTAAATGTTTTTTTCCTTTTTTTTTAATTTAAAAAAAAGTGGTTCATTTAAAACCTTATGGTTGAAACTTGGCCAAATTGACCCTATTTTTTATTTTTTATTTTTAAAATAAACAATATGACACAACAAAAATACAATGTAATATGAATATGAGCGTGAAGTTATGTACTAATGCATCCTAGAGGATAATGGCCCTCAAATCTTCCATATGCTTTGGCAATATGGTCAACTTGAGTGGAGAATTTCATGCGCCTGCACGGGAACCGAAATTCCGCGAAGGTCACACTACTCAGTCTCCGATCTAATCCTAAGGGTAAAGCCCGGGTAGGAGGCTTGTGAAATTGTGTGAGATGCATGGATAATGCAAACTTACAAAAGCAAATAATTAAAACACAAAATGTGCAATAAAAAAGGAATGGACCAAAATATTTCATAACGAGATAGTAGATGACAAAAACAAATGGCTTGACTCTCAAGAATCCCCAGTGGAGTCGCCAAGCTGTCGTAACGTTATCGCGACGCGGAGCGGCCGACGTCATCCCCTGACGGGTCTCTTTTGAGATTAGGGTTTGGAGTCGCCACCAATCATCTACGAGGTGTGATTGATCACCTATTTTAAAAACTTGGTCTACGAAAAACAGATTTTGGTTCGGGAGTCGACTGAGCGTAGGGAAGGTGTTAACACCTATGACACCTGTTCGAAAACGGTACCACATTTTGTCAAAAATTATCCTATTATTTTATTTGGTCAAAAAAAAAGAAATGTTTTATTTTGTTTTAAATGTCTCATATTATATTAATTCACATTTTGTTATAAGATATGAATTAATAGGTATGAGTGCCACGAAGGCCATTAGAAAAATTTTGACACCTCAACATGAGTGATGACACTTCAATGTCTCACCAACGTGCCACCACCTTAGGATATAAACTATGCTCCATTTTAAATTACAAACTTTGTATTTTTAAATTTTATTTAAAAAAAAAACTCTAAACGAGATGTTTTAATTTAAAACGAATCATGTTTAGTCAACTATTTGTTCATTTAAAAAGAAAGTTTGAAATTTAAAACATTTTTCCTTTTAAAACTTAGAGGATTTACAAAGAAAAAATATTTTGTTTTAAAACAAATTTCATTTACAAAACCTTTATTTTCTTTTCAAAAAGCTTAATTAAAAGTAAAAAAAAAATGTCTATGACAGACCACTATCCCTCCAAACAAACTCCTCGTTTAAGGAAAGACAAAAAAAATTTACCACTTTTTTCCTTTTATTAAAACAAACTTTCTTTTCCTTTGATTTTTAGGAAACCAAAACTCACCTTTCTTACCTTTGTTTTAGTAGAGGAAGGATGGAGGTCACCGGAATCTATGGCTACTGCCGGTGAGCTGTGGTGCCGTTCGGGTCCTGCCGCTGTAGGCGTACAATGCTCGTGAGGTTATCTCACCCCCACTGGAGGCTGAAATGGCTCTGCGCCACCGGAGTCCATAGTCGCCAGAATGGGAGTTACTCTCGTCGCTAGAAGTCACTGTTTGTCGAGATCGTCTGCTACAAATCGTCCGATTTGTGTTTGTCGGAGTTTGTTGTCGAAACGTTACTGTCACCGCTATGTGGGTGCCGCCGCTGCTGCCGCCGATCTGTACCGTCGGTCACCGGAATGTCGATTCGCCGGTGAAGTCCCTATGCTGCCGCTGGAATTGGTGTTGTGGGTGTTGTGGTGGAGCTTGAAATTGAGAAGGAAGAAGAAGAGAAGATGAAATGAGAAATGGGCTGTAGAGAGAGAGAAAAAAAATAAAATAAAAAAGGAAAATAAAATGAGTGTTTGAGGAGAGAAATGGATTGTAGAGAGAGAGAAGCAAAACAAAATAAAGTAAACGGAAAAGAAAAATGGGTGTTTGGAGAGAGAAGATGGAAAGAGGGAAAAAATAAAAATAAAAATGTAAAAGAAAATAGGTTTTTGAAGAGATTGAAAGAGGGAATGGTGGCGGTGAGGTGGAAGTTGATGAAGTTATAGAGAGAAATATTATGGAGGAAAAATGTGGGGGGTTTTAGAGAGAGGAAGAAGGAAAAAAAAAGTAAGGAGATGGTGAGCTTTTAGAGAGAGGAAGGAGGGAAGAAAGAAAAATGAGATTCTTTGTGGGTTTAAGAGAGAGAAGGACTCTCCTGAAGGAAAAAAAAATCTTAATTTTTCTGCATCGCTCCCCCTGTTTTTGTGTTTTTCTGTATTTTTTTGTGTCCCCTTATCTATTCCTTCCCCCTCCTTAAATAAGAAAAAATGTAACCGTAACAATGGGGAAGGTCAAAATTGAAGAGAGAAAAAAAAAATGAGGAAGATAACGGAGAAAAGACCACGTTATAGTAGTTTTCACGAGTAAAACAGAATCAAAATCAGTTTTATTAAAAAAAAACTTTTTTTAAAAAAATTTAAACAAATCTTTTTATTTACTTAAAATCAAATCTTATTTATTTATTTATTTATTTTAATAAGAAATCAAATTCTTTTAAAACAAAATCTATTTTTAAATTTAATTAAAACCTTACCTTAAAACTAATAATAAGATAAACTATGTTATTTTTAATGAAAACAAATAAAATAAAATTTTATAATATAAAATATTAATGTTAATGTTAATAATAAATAAATAAAAATAATAAAATTTGAGCCGGACCAAATACGGTGTCAACAATATGAAATCAATAAGTTTGTATATTTTGGAGACTTTTGATCTAGTAACACAAAGTTTCAAAAGGTTTATATTCATTTGTGATCTCAATGAAGAATTTTGTATCTGTGATTTCATAATATTCATTACATGGTGATATTATCACATGTAATATCGGAAGGTAATAAGAATAATAATTATGAATTACAGGTTTAGTGNNGGAGATGGTGAGCTTTTAGAGAGAGGAAGGAGGGAAGAAAGAAAAATGGGATTCTTCGTGGGTTTAAGAGAGAGGACTCTCCAAAAGGAAAAAAAAAATCAGAGTTTTTCTGCATCGCTCTCTCTGTTTCTGCGTTTTTCTGTATTTTTTGTGTCCCCCTAATCTGTCCCTTCCCCCTCCTTAAATAAGCAAAAATGTAACGGTAACAATGAGAGGGTCAAAATTGAAGAGAGAAAAAAAAGGGGAAGATAACGGAGAAAAGGTCACGTAGTTTTGACCAGTAAAACATAATCAAAATCAGTTTTATTAAAAAAAACTTTTTTTTAAATTTAAACAAATCGTTTTATTTACTTAAAATCAAATCTTATTTATTTATTTATTTTAATAATAAATCAAATTCTTTTAAAACAAAATCTATTTTTAAATTTAATTAAAACCTTACCTTAAAACTAATAATAAGGTAAAATATGTTATTTTTAATGAAAAAAAATAAAATTTTATAATATAAAATATTAATATTAATGTTAATAATAAATAAATAAAAATAATAAAATTTGAGCCGGACCAAATACGGTGTCAACAACATAGATATCAGATATACATATCAGTAGTATATCACATAGTTATATCATTAGTATATCACATTTATATCGGATATACATATTAATATGAAACACTCATATCAGGCGTATATGAGACTATAACATTAATAATACATCAGATACTTATATCACTAGTATATAAAATATGAATATGAATAGTTTATCAGACGGAAATCAGAGGGAAATCAAAATGTAAGGTTTTTTGGACTTCACGTTTTAGGTTTATTTTTTGGTTATTTTGTGTTTGGGTTTGGGCCTACAGGACAATATTGTCATTTAATATGTGAGTATTCGTTTAGTGCTATATTTGAAAAACTAAAATATGGTTGCTATTCTCCTTATTTTTGCTAATTTTTTTTTTGTCATATCTCAAGTTGACCTTTTTTTAACTCTCTAATGTATTATTAACTTAACCATAATTATGATTGGAATATTAATGACCATTTGTTTTTCGAAAATGTAAATATCCGGTATTTTCAGATGTCTGAAATTTTAGATGTCCGAAATGTTAGATGTCCGACATCTTCAGATAGTCATGGTTGTTTTGTAGGAAAATTTATTAAGGATATACAGTAATATTTGGATAGCCACGTTTGTTTCGGAGGATTTATTCATGTTGTAAATTTATCTAATATTACGAAAATTATGTTGGGATAAAGTGGAGTAAAAAACCAATTGGGCCTAAATACTCATTAAAAGCCCAAAATGTTTTTTTCTTCTTCCTTAGGTTGGCCGCCAGTACACTTATATAGGTAGGTAATTATTAATTTTTGGTTGAAGCCGACAATTAAAACAAACCAAAAAGAGTGGCTGGACAATTTTGTCGTGTTGCACAAAATCAAAGGAGTGGCAGTGGAGTTAGTGGTACATCGTCGGCAACCAAATCTCGTGAGTAGTGTGAGGTTTTTCATTCTTGTATTTTCTAGGATTGTATTATTGTAGTTTATAAAAGTTAGGTGGTTTTTGTCGAGGCCTGAAGTTTGACAGATTGTATTGTACATTGTATTTATCTCATAATCATAATAGAACGTGCATCTGAGCGGAAGACTGGACGTAGCCTGTGGTTAGGTGAACCAGTATAAATCTTGTGTCATTTCTACGCTTTTCTTATTTTTCTCTTATTATTGTGGTTGACTTATTTTTCATTGACGAACTATGGAAGAGGAAAAATATTATTGGTAAGTAATTTTCTTAATAAGTGGTATAAGAGCTCTAAGGTTCAGCGTCATGGGATCCAGTGGAAAGCCACATCACTACTTCGAGGGGGTTTTGAGATTGGATGGAGAAAATTTTGGGTTTTGGAAGATGCAAATCAAGGATCTTCTTATATACAAGAAGATACAAAAACCTTGAAGGAACGACAGGCTGGGATGACAGACAAGGAATAGGTTGAGATGGATGAATAGGCCGTAACGATCATCAGGTTGTGCTTGTCAATCAATGTGGCAAGTCTTGTAGTGAGTTAGAAAACGACAATAGGACTGATGAAGGCGCTGACAGACAAATATGAAAAACTTTCTGCCTACAGCAAGGTGTATATCATTACGAGATACTTCAACATTCATATGGAGGAGGGTACTTCAGTGAACTCTCACATAAAATGAGGTCACTGATCTGATGAACAAGTTCGAGTCAATGCATATCACTTTTTCACAGGAGCTGAGGGTTGTAAAACCGATATCCTCTTTGCCTGACAGTTGGGAGACGATGAAGACGGCAATATCAAATTCGTTGGGGATAAGAGTCTGAAATTTTTAGATATCTTTGATGCTGCAATTGCTGATTAAGAGATTCGCATGAAAGGAGGTGGGAAGAATTCCGCATCCACTTCTGGTGGTGAGAATCATTTGGAGTCAGTGTTGGTAGTGTAGAGCAAAGGTAAATGGAAGATGAATAATGGAAAACAGCAGAGACATGACCAGAGGAGTGGGAACATTGAGGTTGAATGTTTTTACTACTATAAGAAGGGTCACTTTAAGAAACGCTGTAGGAAGCTTAAGAGGGATCGGAAAAATGAAGACACTCTAAATTACGTTTCAGTGGATGTGTTAGCATGTATTGAGGGTTGCAACGCTTGTAGACTAGTCATCAGAGTGGGTAGTTGATAGTGCAACTTCAGTGCATGTATCTTTAGTAGGAGTTGGTTCACATCCCTCACTATAGTCAGTCATTGCACGGTGAGGACATGGAATGAGAGACTCTCCAAGGTCAGAGGAATCTCACAATGGAATCGAGTTAGTTTTGCAATATGGTGTCAAATATGTACCTAGTTTTAAAATGAATTTGATATCAGTAGGGAAATTTGATGATGAAGGCTACATAAGTGAGTTTGCAAAAAATAGGGAGAAATTCATAAGGAGATTCGAGGTAGTGGTGGTTGGCAAGAGAGAGAAGGTTCGATGTACATGTTGAGGTTTGGCATTGTCAGAAGATAAGAAAGACAGGTTATGCCCAGAGATAAAAATGATGAACTGTTCATAAATAATAATAATTTATTTATAAAAATAAAATTATAGTGTGAATGGTATATGCTATAAAAAGTCAACTTTCAACTCTTCCTATACTTATTTATTAATTTATTTTTAACAGATTGGCTCGGTAGCATGCAACCCTTTTGACAGTATGCTAGCAGATATATTTATGGATCTTTTTAATTTCATTCTTTTCATTTTTTTTATCGCACTGGATCTTGTTTTAATATCACACTTAATAAATATTATCTTTTATAATTTTTCAAACTTATTTGTTATTATTAAAGTGTCAAATTTACCTCAGCTTAGAATTGGTTAATTGCATATTAATAACTTCTTTTTTTTTCTGAAATTCAATAAAGAGGCGACCATTTGAATTAGTAATACTTAAAAGAAGAAAGTACTGTTTTTCATGAATTGAACTATACTCATAACAATGTAACAAATATTCATAGCATTGAACTTGAAAAATAAGTTTTAAAATACTAACGATAAATAAAAGCTTACCAAATATTTTTGTTATGGAGAATATCATCAAGTTATTCAACACTTTATTTGTGGTTAATATTAATTATGCACGTTTACTTATCCGCAATTGTAATGAGAATGAATCAGAATGAAAATCAATCCTAATGAAATCAATCGGAATGGAAATGTTATTCCTTCGATGTTGTTTACTATAACTTTTTTGGAATCGTAATCAGAATTCTTTTGATGTTGTTTAGTGAAAGTAAAGGTCCTTCCTTATATAGGTTCGGATGGCTGACTAGGGAGGACGACGGTTGGGATGGCAGGGGCGTGCCACGGGGTACGATACCTGCTAGGGCTGTACATGCAGGCTGTGAGCTTGTCCCTTGCTGGTGGCAGGCCGCGGGCACGACGTGCTCCCCATATCGGGGTAGTGGAATGCGCCTTCCCTGTAGTGTAAGATGTGTAACCGTTTGTGGTCCCGCCCCTCTCTAAGGCTGACACGCGTCCTGCTCAATTTTCACCTTCAACATTAATAAATAATGAATAATTAAAATAAAATTACATCAAATAAATAATGAATTATTAAAATAAAATTCCATCAAATAAATTTTTTTCATTTGAACAACCATGATTTAATCTAAAATATTATTAAATTTTATTATTCTAATCTTAAAAAATAATAATTTATATTTTAAAAAATCTATTTGATATTAATTAATATAAATTTATAATATTATATAATAAAATCACATCAACTAATAAAAATTGAAGTATAAATGGAGAAAAAAATATTAAATATATATAAAAAAATTAATTAAAAATTGTATGGGTCTAATTAATGAACGAGGGAGAAAGAGTAAAAGTTGTAAATTAATTCTAATAAATAAGTGGGACCCACGGGATATGGAATAAGAATGAAGTTGATGAGGTTGTATGAGTGTAATAAGATTACACGGAATGAGATCACAAAGTTTGAGGTGGGTCGCACTCTGTTTTATTACATTCCTACAATTTGGTAAACACTATAAAGGGAATGAAGGTTTTCATTACGATTCGTCGATTATGATTACGGGTAATTAAACGGTGTCTAAGTGTATGTGAACCATGTATGGATAAACCACCTCTCTGTAAGTTCTACAATTATGTCCATTCTTGAATTTTTGTGTTAAAACCCTAAAATAATAATAATAATAATTCAGTCGAGATTAAATGTTGTACTAAAAAAAACCCTACAGTTTCAACTAGAATATTATAAAAAATCTAGCCTAAACTAGGACAACATTTTAAAATAATATAGTTTTAAAAATAAATTATAAAAATAATGTTAGTTTAAAAATGATAGCAAAATAAAATAAATAAATTCAAAAGTAAGTTAGGTTTTCAAAATTATTGACAAAAATAGGTTAGGTCAAAAGTGAAAGTCAAAATTCGCGTAAAATGCCTGCGATTTCCATGCAAACGTGTATATTTGACGTGGTAGTTGACTAAGTGGAAATCGCGTACACTGTACACGACTTTCACATTTTTATTATTTTTTTATTTCGAAAGTCGTGTACATTGTATTCGACTTCCAACTTCTTTTTTTTTTAATTTCAATTTTTATTCTGTTATTTTATTAATATTGCTAAATTTAATTAAGATGTGATTAAATTTTATATTTTTTGTTATTATATTTTAAATTTTGATTAAAATTTCATTTAAAGTCTGAAAGTTTAAAATTAGATTAAAATCAATTCAATGATTAAAATGTCATTCTCTTGTGCTTCATCTTGATATGTTCTATAAAATAACATTTAAATTTAATATAAACTAAATCGATAAAAAAAATTATTAAATTAATAAAAGAGAAATTGTATTGGGTAGCTAAATTTTTATACATATTTATATATATGTCAACGTCTTTTGTATTTTGTAAATATGGTAAAATATTTGAATTTTTATTTACAAAATTTTTATTATTCCAGTTTTATCCTTATGATATCTGATATACACCTGATGTATATTTGATATATGCTCGATGGATATATATTTGATATACGCCCAATGGATTATATCTGATATATGCCAGATAGATGTATATCTGATATACGTTTGATGTATATTTGATATATGTCTGATATATTTTTGATATATTTCCGATATATCTCTGATATACTTCCGATCTATATCTGATGTACATCCGATGTACTTCTGATATACATTAGATGTACATATTATATATCTAATATACATCTGATGTATCTCTAATTTATGATATACTAAATATATTTGTAACTGATATACCTATGTATATCTTATCTAATATACATCCGATATATCTCTAATGTACACTTGATGTATATCAGTGATAGACTAAATATATTTGTAACTGCTATACTAAATATAAGGTGTATCAAATATTTAATTTTCAATGGTATATCAGTTGTTTAAATTGTAGTTTATAACTGCAATTTGTTGATTGATATACTAATATCTTCAGTAATTTTGATTGCTATATCCACTCTATAATCTATATCAATATTAATTAGATACTAAATATAAAGGATATCAATTGTTTAAGTTTATAAAGTATATTTGACTTTTAACTTTTTTTTTTGGACGCATGTGGTCCATATCAATCTTTTATGCAATAATTTTAGATTTTCTTTTTCTTTTTTTTTTGTTTACACCATTGGTTTCATTTGGAAAAAATTAATTGATATATTAGATTTATATCAATACATATATATCATAGTTATATAAGTAGATATCATGGTTATATAAGTAGTAAATTATATATATTAAGTATATATCACAGATGCATCAATGTTATATTAGTGATAAATCATATAATCGTAGAAAAAGTTATATTAGTAGATATCATAGTTATATCAGTGGTAAATTAAAAGCATATATCACAGACATATAAGTGTTATATTAGCATGATAAATCAATGGTAAATTATATATAATCATATAAGAACTTATATTAGTATAAGTCATAGTTATATATCATATGTATATCAGTGGTAAACCATATTAGAAGTTAGATGGGTAGATATCCTCGTTATATCATAAGTAAATCAATTGTATATCAATATTATATCAGTGGTATATCAAAGACATATCAATTATATATCACACGTATATCCATGGTAAATCAATAAATAGTAAATAATATAATCATATAAGAAGTTATATTAATAGATATCATAGTTATATCAGTAATATCAGTTGTATATCAATAGTAAACTAGAGGTATATCAAGTGTATATATATATATATATAAAATAGTGCTACGAGGGTAACTTTGACATTTTATTATTTGACCTCAATTTTTCCTAAAAATTTTGATATATTTAAAAATTTAAAATGTAGATGCTAAATTTGTTATTTCCTTACATTTTTTTGCCATATTTAACTGCCCTCGATAAAAACATAAAAGTCAAGGTATAAATTACATAAATACACGTAATAGTATTTTTAAAACAAATATATAATTTTTAAACATGGTACAAAGTCAATAACACATCCATTTAAATATTCCTGAACATAATTTAATCTTTTTCTTAAATTTCGGTTTTTTACAATAAAATTTAAAGTAAAAAAAGGACAAAATGGTAGCAGAATTTTGAAAAATTTATTGGGTTGGATCATTTTTCTTGTGTATGGATATACATTTTTATAGAGATAATGTAAGACCTAGATTTCTTAAATTCTGATTTTTAAAATTAAAAAAAAATAAAAAGAAGTCGCAGCCACCTTCTGATATAAAATAGATCTGCTTTATCCATGGCTGCAACTTTGGTTAATAGAGACGTGACTGCAACTTCCATCAATAGAGACGTCTGGAGCCACGTAAAGGAGAAGTTGTAGCAATTACAACGATTTTGGCCTTAGTCGCAGGCAATGATTGTGATTTACGATGAAATCACAACCTATTCCTATGACTTTGGTCAAATCGCAGTCATATATCCCGACGATTTATCCACCCTATTTTTATTTACCCTATTTTTTTAATTACTTTAAAACCTACGTTATCCTTTGTTTTTAAAAATTAATTATTTAAAAAAAATTCTGCTTAAGCACCCTTATCCTTATTTGACTTCCAAGACGCGTATAATGATTGATGGAAAATAATAATAAAAGCCCACTCCCACTTCGTCCCCAGAATTAATTTGTTTGAGTTCTGAATTCGCCGGAATCGGAAATAAGGAAAGAAAAAATGGATACAAGGCTTTTCCAGGCAGTGAAATGGAACGACAGAAGGCGTTTCAGGAATCTGGTGGACGAAAATTGGGAAATTATGAAGCAGATATCAGAAGAGACGGGGGACACGGCGCTGCACTCGGCGGTGAGGCACGGCCATGTCAACTTTGTGACGGAGATCCTGAGGCTGTGGCCGGAAGCTGCGGCGGTGGAGAATCGGAAGAATGAGACTCCATTCCAAGAAGCTTGTAGGGAAGGATCGGAACCCGAAATCTTAATGCTGCTTCTGGCGATGGAGCCATGGGTCAGATCTGAACTCAGCCATCAAAACCAGAGCCTGTTGTTGGCGGCCTGCAGCCATGGTCAAGTGGATGCTGTCAAGATCCTTTTGAAACAGCCATGGCTCCACAATTTAGACGACCACGCAGCTTGCTTTCTTGAGGCTGCCTCTCGGGGATACTTGGGTAATTTCTAATTTTAGTAATGTCTTAAATTACAAGTATGGATTTAAAAAAAGTAACAGGTTTCTATTTGAAATTATTTGTGCTAAATTGTATTCTAACAAAGAGTTTCAGGAAAAGAGAGGGATCGAATGAGCTCTCCATCGATGATGAAGAGTTAATTATCGTGTCATACATAAATTACTAGTCATGTTAACTTCCGATTAAAAATATTAGTGAATGTTTGCACGATTGGTATTTTTCATACACAGATTTATGAAAGGTAAGAGGTTGTATTGAAAATAAAGGCCTCTTTCGTAAATCTAATGAAGAAAATTTAAGGGTGTTTATTTCTAAATGTTGGAATGAAAACATGGGCATCTGTGTGTTCTTACTTTTTAGTCTCTTTTGTTGTAAAAGTAGTGCAGCAAATTTAGTAAAAGGTGATGGTTGGTTGGGTGCAGGCCTGGTTAAAGAAATATTAGGGAAGTTCCCAAAAGTGGCTGAAAAGGTGGACGATAACGGGTTCTGTGGTCTGCACAAGGCTTGTATTGGCGGCCATGTGGATGTAGTGAGGTATCTGTTGGGTCATCATCCTCAGCTGGCACGCCAATTCAACAACTCTGGCTCTACGCCGTTGCACTTGGTTGCCATGAACGGCAACATCCCCATTCTTCAACTATTTATGGACCTATCTCCACTCTCCTTACTGGATCCTACGAAGCAGGGAGACCCAATTCTTCATCTCACCATTCGGTATAACCAATTCCCTACTTTTCTCCACTTGGCTCGAACCTTCAATACACATGAATCATTCTTCAATTCTGTTGACCTCCATGGGAATACTCTTTTACATGTTGCAGTACTGTATGGACGACTACAGGTCACAAAAATCCTCACTTTCTCTACTTTTCTTCACATACTAACTCATCAATACATAATTGTATATTAACTCAATATATTAGGGACTATTACATATATTGAGTCTAATTTCTAGTACGTTTCTGACGTGGTTTATCTTTTTGAATAATATGTTGCAGTTTGTAGAATTATTGATCAATAAAATGAAGATGAGGATGTGGATAAATTGTCAGAATATGGAAGGGAGGACAGCCCTTGACATGCTCGACAACCTTGCCGTTAATGACACTGAGGAGTTCCAAATTCTTGAGGACATGTTAAAAAATGCCGATGGAAAGAGAAAAATAGAACTGATGGATTCCACCATTATTATTCCAACTAGCGAGAAAGGGGAATGGATTCAAGAATGGATTGATTCTTTGGATCCAAATTTGTTGGAGGAGGAGCGTTTGCAGAAGACCATTGATTCAGGTTATGATAAGAAGGAAGAAGAAAAGGGGATTAATTCTTTGGATCCAAATTTGTTGGATGAGGATCAGATCATTGACTTAGAGCATGATAAGAAGAAAGAAGAAAAGAGGATTGATTCTTTGGATCCAAATTTGTTGGAGGAGGATCATTTGCAAAAGATCATTGACTTAGCTCATGATAAGAAGGAAGAAGAAAAGAATGACCTTGAAAATTTGAGGAGCAATAATAATGTTATCCTTGCTAACGGTGAACAAATCGATCAAGAAGAGAACAAAGATGGGTCTGTGATTTCAATATCCTTGGAGATACAAGAGGATCTCAGCCAAAAGCGGCAGGAAGTTGTAACAAGCGTAATGAACAAGAACCATTTTCGGTGGGAAAAGCAACACGTTGCTCTCAGTCAAAAGCGGCGGAAAGTTCTGATAAGCAAAATGAACAAGAACCATTCTCGACGGGAAAAGCAACACGATATGTATAAGGAGGCATTCCAAAATGTAAGAAACACAATTACTTTAGTTGCAGCTTTGATTGCTACAATTACATTTTCTGCCGGCATAAGCCCCCCTGGTGGAATTCACCAAGACGGTCCACTAATTGGAAAAGTAGTATTTGCCAAAACAAAAGGCTACAAGGTATTCCTAATAAGCAACAGCATCGCAATGACGACATCTTTATGTATTATGATCGTTTTAGTGAGCATCATCCCTTTCAAAAAAAAATTACTGCTACGACTTCTTAAGATTATCCATAAAGTATTGTGGTTGTCTCTAGGGTTCATGACAACGACTTTCACGTCGGCCACATGGCTCACCTTGCCGCAAGATTACAAAACAAATTGGCTTCCGAATGCGATATTGGCAGTGGTGGGCGGGACTTTGGGAACACTTTTTATTTATTTGGGATTAGAGTTGGTTAATCATTGGACGAGGAAGGTCAAGTGGAGAAAAGAGAGAGTCAAGAAGCCAATTGTTCCCGTTGGCGATAATTCCGATGACAATTTGGACCATCAATCCACGGACGATCTATCGTCTATAAAAGCTAAGTCAAACATAGAGCAGCGTGATTTAAGTAGGTTCCATTCATTATCTACTAATTCCGATTTTGCAAGCTCTAGAGGTAGGGGTGGTCACGTATATTAAAGATATGGTCACGTATATTAAAGATATGTTTGTAAGTGATTTTAAGATACTGATTTAATTATAAATAGTTTTGTAAAATGTTTAATAAAAAATTATTTTACTATTTGGTTCTAGTTTTTGAAGCAATGATTACAATGATTAATGCATGTTTGTTTTAAAAAAAATGATTTTAGAATAATCAAAATACTCAAAATTCACTCCCAAATATGGATTCTCTCCACATACTTTGTTCTCACTCATATGTTTTCTATTCCAAATTAGCACGTTTAATTTTAAAGTTCTTATGATTGAGCCATCAAATAGAAATGTGTACTTTATTGTCGGTATAATAGTAGATAATATTAACTTTTTTAAGTATTTCTTAACCATGCTTCCACGATCTCATGATCAACTACAAAAATTTTAGGTTTTGGCGACGACACAATTCGTCGCCAAAGACCTTCGACGACGAAATTTTTTCGTCGCCCAAGCTGTTGCTGTTGGGCCGTCGCCAAAAAGTTTTTGCCATGAAAAAGATTCTCGTCGCCAGGTCCACTTTCAACGACGAAAAGCGTTTTCGTCGCTTTTCGTCGTTGAACATCAGCAACACTTTCATTCACTTTCATTCAAGCTTGTCCTACCATATATGTGCATAGGCTGCACACACAAACACTCTCAATTGGTTTAAACTAAGAGATTTTTCTGTCTACATTTCTTGTGGTGTTTTCATGTTAATTGCAGAGGAAGGGCTATGATTTATGAAATAAGTTGCTATAGTTACAGCTTCCCTCGAAAAAAACCTTCGAAAGTTTAGCATTTACAAACATACATCTGACCCTCCCAAGCAAAGTTCTATTAATCTCTCTGCTAATTTTTTTTTCATAAATTTCTCTTAAACATTTTTTTCTCTCTCTAAAATTATATTATTTTAAATATTTATTATTATTTTTCTCTCTCTTCAAATTCATGTTGTATGTATTTTTATTTGTTTTTGTTTCACCGCACAACTCTCTCCAAAAAATATATTTTCTTGAATTTTTCTCTCTCTAAAACTTCGTCTTTTTATAACTTTTATTTTTTCTTCCTAATCTATTTTTCCTATTAAATTTTTTTCTGACAAAATTATATTTTCTTTTCTCGTTCAACTTTGTTTCTCTATAACTTTTCTTTCTCTTTGTATTTACTTATTTTCTATAAAAATTATATTGCAAATTTGTTTTTATCTCTAAATTTGGTTCTCACTATAATTTTTCTTTTTCTTTTTAATTTCACTTTTTTTTCTTTAACATATCTCTTCCTCCCTACTTTACTCTTTTTCTCTAAAATTTTTCTCTTTTTGTTTTTGACTTTCCTTTTACTATTTTTTCCCTAAATTTTTTCTTTTCTCTCTAAAATTTATATTTCACAAGTTTATTTCATCTCTCTAAACTTTTATTTTCATGTCTCTACATTAGACATACAACAATTTCTACCGGGTCGAGTCTTCGCTCCAAGAATAGGAAATGCATTTCCCGACCCTGTCCCTCAATTCAAAATTTTAAATAATTAATATATTTTTATTGACGTAGTGAATAAAATATTAAATATTTTTTAAAAACTAATTGTTTATACTAGTAAATAATGATTCTAAAAATAATTAATTGTAAGGGCGTTTATGTCATTTTAGTTTAAACAGAAAGAAAATAATTTTGAAATTTTGAAGTTAGGTCTCACTACAAGAATTTTAATTTTGGGAGTAGTTTCTTCCAACGATAAATATTTGTGACAAAAACATCAGCTAGAAGTGCGTTGGGAAAGCACATTGCCGACGTTTTTAAAAAAAAGTTGGCAGAACAATACTTTCGCCAACATTCAAAAAATGCTGGTAGAGCTGACTTTCCACCAACGTTTCTTAAATGTTGGTAGATCTACCAACGTTTTAAAGAAAGGTTGGCAAATAGAAACTTCTACCAAAGTTTTAGAGAAACGTTGGCAGAGTTGTCAAAATTCTGAAAACATTGGCAGAAGTTTTCATCCGTCGAAGACTGCTGCTGCCACCGTGTTGTTGGGTCGTCAGAGAACGGGGGCGGCTAGGGTTAGGAAGGGGAAGAAGGAGATGAAAGAAGAATAAGAAGGGGAAAAAGATACGGGGAAAAGATGGTGTTTGAGGTTTCTTTAGTTTTGTTTTATTTTTTTTCTCCCCTTTTTCTTTTTACCTCACAAAAGAATATAACAAAATAAGATTTGTGGTCTTATAAATAAAGAGATTTTTCCTAATCCTTTTCCAATAAGAAAACAGACTTTATTTTACATGGATTTGGGACAATACTAAAATATTGATTAACTTAAAATTAAAACCAATAAAATGCAAAAGAGAGAATTAAATTTCCAAAACGTTGGATTAAAATTTAATTAAAAATCTCTTACCAAAATTTGAAAACTTAATTTATCTTAATCCAAAGAAATTAAACCTAAATTTTAAATATAAAAAATTAGAACTTCAAAATTATAAAATTCAAGGATTTAGGGAAAATCCAAAGGCACAATTTCAATCTTAAAATAAAATAACCGAGGCGTTACAGCGAGGAATAAGAAGATGAAGATGGCTTGTTTTGGTTTTCTTTTTTTTTTAATACCAAAAAGAAGTTAAAGTGAATAAATATAAATAAGATTATTATCCTATAAATAGGATTTTTTTTGTTTAAATCAATTTCTTTAATTTTCTTTTCTTTTATAAAAAAGAAATGAGCCCAAATAAATCAGAACAAATGAGCAATGGTGGATCCAAGATTCTATATCAGAAAGGGGCACAAATGCATAAAAATAACATAATCGGAAAAAAACTTAACATCGACATTATAATTATTCTAAATTTGTAAGTTTTGGCAGAGTTATTTAACCGTGGATGTTGTACATTAATCAAACTGAATTAGTAAGTTTCTGTGAATTTTATAAATTAATAAGGCGATTTAGAATAAACTTAACATAAAGATAAAAATTATAACGTTTATCTAAGTTTATGATTATGAACTTAAATTTATTAAAAGAAATACCTTCCAATAAATAAATTTAACTAGATAGATTTGGTAAAAAGAATTTAAACTTACTTTTTTATATTAAAAGAATTAGAAATATTTTGTGAAAAAATAGTTATTTAAAAGAATTAGACATATTTTGTTCAATAAAAACCTTTTTTTTTTTAAGAATTGAACATATTTTGGGAAAAATAATAATAATAATAACAAGAAAAACATAGGGAGGTAAGATTTGATCACAAGGGCTAAAGGATATGTTTTAAGAAAAAGAAATGAAGCAGTTTAAGAGATATTTTGTAGGAGAATAGAAAAAAAAACAAAAAATAAATAAACAAAATGGAAAAAAAAAGAAAAAAGAAACAAAACGAAAAACCGTAAGTCAAGAAATTAAAAAAAAAAACAAAAAAAAAACGAAAATACTTAGGGTGGGGGTCAAACCCAAGACGAGGGTATGGGGGCACCGGTGGAAAGCCAACAGCCTACACACATTCTTTTAACTCAGGACACATGCTAAATAATATTTCGTAGATCCACAAATGAGGATAGACTAATTCCATATAAAAGAGTAGAGATTTTTTCTTAATATTTTTCTTCAAAATAAAACTCATCCAAAAAAGGATTTGGGAAAATAAATTAAGAGATTAACTTAAGTTAAAAACCCAATAATAAAATCCAAAAGGGAAATAAAATTTCTAAATTTTTGGAATAAAACTTAATTTAAAATCTCTCCCAAAATTCGAAAACTTAATTTATCTTAATCTAACGAAATTAAACTTTAAGTTCTAATTTACCTATGAAATTAGAAAATCCAAGAATTTAATTTATCCCAACTATTTTAAAATAATATTAGAAAATATTATCATATCTCCCAACCTTTTAAAAAATGTCCGAATAAGTTATCCTCTCCCCACATTTTTTAAAATCACGTTGGAGAAAGATAGAAGGTTGAATATTTAAATCGTTCTAAAAGATTGTCAAAAAAAAAAGTTTTAAAAGATTATCCCAATGTTTTTTTAAAACATTGAGATACATTATCCTCTCCCCACGTTTACTAACAAACGTGGTAACCAAGAATTTCTCCCCCACGTTTTCTAATGAACGTTGGTATCCAAGAATCTCTTCCAATATTTTATAATAAGGTTGCTAAAAGATGAGATTTAGAAATTTAAAAGATTCTCCCAACTTTTTTCAAAAAAAGTTGAGATAAATTATCTTTCGGGAACATTTTTACAAAAATGTTGTGAGAAATCTTTTAAAATTTTGATGAATGTGCTAGCGATTTTCAAGGTTTTCTTTTTTTTAGATATTTCTATTTTCAAAACTAATTTTTAAAATATTCCAACTTTCAAATTTATTTTAAAATAATTCCCCCTACATTTTTACCTAAGACGTTGGGATAAATTTTGTTATCCCAACGTTTTATGTAAAAACGATGGGATAAGGTTACTTAGCTCAACATTTTTATTAAAACGTTTGAGATATATTATGTTATCCTAATGTTTGTACAAAAATGTTGGGATAAGATTACTTCCACCAACGTCTTTAATAAAACGTAGGGATAAGTGATTTTTTGCCTACATTTTTACGTTTTTAGTATAATGTAGGGATAATTGATCTCTTGCCAACATTTTTAAAAACGTTGGTATAAGATTACTTTTCCTAACGTTTTTTTTTTTTTTTGTAAAACGTGAGGATAAGTGATTTTCTGCCAACGTTTTTGTAAAAATGTGGGGAGAAGGGATCTTTGGCCCATGTTTGTATTAAAATGTTGGAATATTCAGCGCATAATGGTATGTTTGAATTTATCAACCCATATTCCCACCATTTGTTGCAAAACGTAGGAGGAAATAACATATATAGCGTTTTTAATAAAACAATGGGCGCACTGGTCCCAACGTTTTGTAAAAACGTCACAAGAAATCTTATTGCAACGCTTTTAATAAAACGTTGGGATACATTATGTTATCCCAACGTTTTAAAAAACGTTGGGATAAGATTACTTCTCTCAATTTTTTTTAATAAAACGTTGGGATAAGTGATCTTCTCCCAACATTTTTGTAAAAACGTCGGGAAAATGAATCTTTGCCCCCACATTTTCATTAAAACATCGCAATATTTATTATGTA